ATGTCCTGGTGGCAGTGCACAGGACAGACCTTGCCTGCGCTGGGCTGGGGAGTGAGTGCCTACCCACTCTACCTTCCACAACCTGAGGGCCATGCCCCCCACCAGCCAGTCACCTCTATCACCACATATGTCCAGCTCCAGATTGATCAGTAAAATCCACTTTCAGGCTTAGGGGTCCCTCAGGACAAGCTGACTGATGCCCAAGGCTGGGGACCCCAGTGTGGGTGACCCTTAAGCAATCCTAGGGGAAGCCCTGCTGTTATGCTTTTTATGGCTTGAAACCACTGCTGAGGTTAATACACCAGCTGCAGCCTCCCTCTACCTGGCTTCCTTTAAAGAAATTGGGGAATCTCTTTATTTTTTAAAATATATTTTTATTGATTTCAGAGAGGAAGGGAGAAGGAGAGAGAGATAGAAACATTAGGGATGAGAGAGAATCATTGATCGGCTGCCTCTTGCACGCCCCACACTGGGGATCAAGCCCACAACCCAGGTATGTGCCCTGACCGGGAATCGAACCATGACCTCATGGTTCATAAGTCAATGCTCAACCACTGAGCCAGACTTGCCAGGCCTGGGGAATATGTTAAACAGATCTAGTTTTTTTGGCAGAGTGGAAAATAGGAACAAACTTCCCAGCAATTACAGATGGCTGCCTGGGCACCTTCCTCTGCAAGGTATTCTGCTTCTAAGTAGAGACCCTGCTAGGGTTATGCATCTGTTATATCAGTGGGGGGTGTGAATAAACAATTCTTTCTAATACTGGAAAAAGAAAGAAAACTAGAAAATAAACGAATCTTTCTGGGATCATGGGGAAAATTCTGATTATATATATGTTTATTGCTACCATAAATATCAGAATAGTTATAATGAACTCTTATTTTCTACATTCCATTGCATATGGTAATAATTCAAATAATACAAAAAATATATTTGATGAAAAATTCCACCTCCCTCCTACCCCCCCCCCCCCCACACACACACTACTTGGCTCAGTTCTTAACCAGAGACAGCCACAGTCTTCTAGTGTATCCTAGAAGACATAAAATTTAGAAAGCCGAATCTATGCCTTCTGGCCAGTGGTAGCAACTGCAGAACCGTAGGAGGCAATCTTTCTAGGCCAGGCAGCTGAGGAGGAAGGAGCCATTGTATGTGGGGTTGGCCTGGTATGTATTCTGCACCTCTGGAAAGTTATTGCCATGGAACCGATAGGGAAGAGGTATATAATAGAAATAGAATCACAGTTGTTTAATAGCTACTCACTATAATGAAGAGATTTTCTTATAGACTCGGGAAACTGGAGGATATGTTTCAGGGGAAGAACAGGCTCTGAAGATAAGGCAGCCCTAGAGCTGAGATAAGCCTGTTACTCAAAAGAAAATACATTTTAAGCTCAGATCAAGGACAGGACCTATCTGAAGGGAGACACCGTTCTGGGCTCATCTTTATTGGGGCTAATCTTTGCAAGGACAATGATAGAAAGCAGACCCTGGGAACTCACTAACTTTAAATTTTGTTCCTAGTCTCTAACCATCCTATATAATAAAAGGGTAATATGCAAATCAACCAAATGGTGGAACAAATGGTTGCTATGATGCGCACTGACCGCCAAGGGGCAGACACTCAACACAGGAGCTGCCCCCAGCCCGCAGGCCCTGATTGCCTGATCAGGGCCTGCTGGCCAACCTCTTGGTCCCTTCCCCTGGCCGGCAGGCTCCGATTGCCCAATGGGGAACGGGGAACCGGGGGTGCATGGCAGTGGGGGATGGGGACGGCAGCCGGAGAAGATGGCCCTGATTGCAGACCAGGCCTATGGCCGGTACCCGTGCACTAATTTCGTGCGCCGGGCCTCTAGTATCATATAGAAGGGCTGACTTGAATTGAAATGTCAGAGTAGTCTTTTCAGGGCGTTACACCTGCTGCTCTCTCAGATTGCCTGCTATCTGATAAACACACCATAAAGATTCAACTTCATCTCTACTTATTTGACTCCCGCAGTGGCAGGCAGCTTGGACCCTTTCATTTTTTTGTATCAGAATAGCTGTTTTTGGAAGACCGTTACCCAGCAGAAAAGATGTTTGGTTTTTACAAGCCACAGATGTATTAAAGGATAGAAGACTGCTGTATTTGCAGAGATAAATTCTCCAGTTCTCAATTCAGACAGTAAATGCTATGAAAAGGACTTCCAGACCCTTTTTGTGTTGCATGAGACTCGTTCAGGAGACATCTGTAATGCCTATGTCCTGCTTGTGAAAAGATGGAAGAAATTACTAGCAGGATTAAAAAACCAAAACAAAACAAAACTGGAGCCCTAACCAGTTTGACTCAGTGGGTAGAGCATCGGCTTGCGACTGAAGGGTCCTGGGTTCGATTCTGGTCAAGGGCATGTCCCTTGGTTGTGGGCACATCCCTAGTAGGGGGTGTGCAGGAGGCAGCTGATTGATGTTTCTCTCTCATCGATGTTTCTAACTCTCTATTCCTCTCCCTCTCCCTTCCTCTCTGTAAAAAAATCAATAAAATATATTTTTAAAAAAACAAAAAAACTGGAATCATGGTAGGTGCAAGGCCAGGACCCAGTCTATAGACTAACTTGAAACCAAAGAAAGTGAAAATTCTACCTGGAAACAGGATAAAAAGCAGGCAGATCAGCAAATTGCAGAAGGAATTGAAACATTGTAATTCTGATGCTCACAGACCCACCTCGAGTGCCTCCCCAGCTCAATCTCCTTGTTATAGTAACCAGTCAGATGATGGCTCAGAGATAGGGATGGCTTCGGGCGGGCTCTACCAGAATGCCAGTATTTTTTTCCTTTTTAGATCTCACATACTGGAAAAGACAGAACATATGTTGTGGGATTTTCCATAAAGGCGTTTTGGGGAAGTCCTCATTGACACACATCTATTCAAGCCTTGCTTTAGATATAAGAAAGCAGCTGCTGAGAAGCCGGGTGCCAGAGCTTCTGCCCAGCTCCACTCAGGAGTGGCCCCTGAGGTTTATATAGAAGGAGAACAAATTACAATTTAAATTTTAGAAGAAAAACAACAAACAAACCCACAGCAACAAAAATGACCCTCCCATGTTTAACTTGGATGCCTGCTATTCTGCCAAAAGACAACTTCTGGAATAGTTCTGAATGGATTATTTTTCCTTCCTTTCCACAAGTTCCACCAACTGAAGCCAGTATCTAGTTCATAAAAGAAAAATTTATATATATATAAAGTTTAAAATGCTGAGTATTTCAGAGGAAACAGAATGCTGCTATAAAATGCTCTTTAAGTCTTTCTTTTAAATCCCCCTCTATGAATGAAACAAGGGGAATTCAGGGGACAGAGATAGGATTTGTTGTATGATAGACATATGTAGTCTTAACCTTTTTATTTTGAAATGTTTTTTTTTAAAAAAAAAAAAATACATTTTGGCTGCAGTATACTATAGACTAGACCAGCCGTGGGCAAACTACTGCCCCCGGGCCGGATCCAGCCCGTTTGAAATGAATAAAACTAAAAAAAAAAAAAAAAAGACCGTACCCTTTCATGTAATGATGTTTACTTTGAATTTATATTAGTTCACACAAACACTCCATCCATGCTTTTGTTCCGGTCCTCCGGTCCAGTTTAAGAACCCATTGTGACCCTTGAGTCAAAACGTTTGCCCACTCCTGGACTAGACTATAGTATAGATAATTTCTACTTCTGTATTTATTTATTTATTTATTTATTTATTTATTACTAGGTCTCAACCACAGTCTTCTTTTTTTAATTTAAATTTTATTTTTATTTTAGAAAGAGGTAGAGAAACATTGATATGTACTCCTACTGGGGATGGAACCCGCAATGTTGTCATATCAGGATGATGCTCTAACCAACTGAGCTACCGGGCCAGGGCCACAGTCTTCTTTTTCCTCTTTGCCTCTAGGATGTACTGTATGTAGTCATGCACTTTGTATTAATACATTAGAAATATACAAATCTGTTTTGTACTTTTTATACTGTTGGATACTTATAATCAAAACTTTTACTAGATTATTGAATACATTTAATCTTATTAGAAAAAAAGGGTAAAATTTTATAGATTTTTTTAAATTCTAAAAATATCTATTTGGACCAGATGTATAAATTTTAATGTTAAATAGTATATTCAGATACTTAAGAGCCCTGAAATGCACAAGAGCCCTGAAATGCACAAGCAGAGCATAAGAGAATTTCCACAAATGCAAGTTGAACATTCAAATGGCCTGTAACAAGAAAGGGGGTACCACCTTGTGAGTAAAACATTGGGTTGGTAATCAGAAGCCTTTGGTTTTGCTGCTTTTATTTATTTTTATTTTTTGTTAATTCTCACCTGAGTATATTTTTCCATTGATTTTTAGAGAGATTGGAGGGGGAGAGACAGAGAAACATCAGTGTGAGAGAGCTATATCGATTGGTTGCCTCCTGCACGGGGATTGAGCCTGCAACCGAGGTATGTGCCCTTGACTAGAATCGAACCTGAGACCCTTCAGTCTTCGGACCAACTCTCTATCCACTGAGCCAAACCAGCTAGGGCAATTCTAATGCTTTTATTTGCTTATTTATTTAAAAAAATTTTTTTTATTGATTTCAGAGAGGAAGGTAGAGGGAGAGATAGAAACATCAATGATGAGAGAGAATCACTGATTGGCCTCCTGCATCCCCTCCACTGGGGACTGAGCCTGCAACCCAGGCATGTGCCCTTGACTGGAATCAAACCGGGAACCCTTCAGTCTGCAGGCCAACACTCTATCCACTGACTCAAACCGGCTAGGGCAATTCTAGTGCTTTTAGATCTGCCATTAATAGCTGTGCAATTTTAGGTAAGATCCTCAAACTTGGGCCCCAGTCTTCTGATTATAGAGCTATTTTCGTGGGCATGAA